ACCTCCAGGGGATTCCACATCCCCTCTGGGCATCCTGTTCCAGAGCCTTACCATCCTTGTAGTAAAGAATTACTTCCTCATATCTAAACTAAACCATCCCTCCTTCATCTTAAGCCCATTCTGCCTTGTCCTATCACTACATGCCCTTGTGAAAAATCCCTCTCCAGTTTTCTTGTAGGCTCCCTTCAGATACTTCAGATAACATTTCCCCAAAACCTTCTCTTCTCAAGGCTGAACAGCCCCATTCCTCTCAGCCTTTCCTCATAGCAGAGATGCTTCAGCCCTGGGATCAACTTAGTGGTCTTCTCTGGACTCACTCCAAAACATCTGTGTCCTTATGGTCCTATCACGCCCTTGTGAAAAATCCCTCTCCAGTTTTCTTGTAGGCTCCCTTCAGATACTTCAGATAACATTTCCCCAAAACCTTCTCTTCTCAAGGCTGAACAGCCCCATTCCTCTCAGCCTTTCCTCATAGCAGAGATGCTTCAGCCCTGGGATCAACTTAGTGGTCTTCTCTGGACTCACTCCAAAACATCTGTGTCCTTATGTTGGGGACCCCAGAGCTGGACACAGTGCTCAAGATGGAGTCTCACAAGAGAAGAGTAGAGGGACAGGATCACCTCCCTCAACCTGCTGGCCACATTTCTTTTGATGCAGCCCAGGACACTGTTGCCTTTCTGGGCTTAGAGCAAGCATTGCTGAGTCATGTTGAGCTTTCTAACCACAAATCAGCCCAAGCCCTTCTTCCCAGGACTAGTCTCAATATGTTCCCCACTCAGCCTGTACTTGTGCTTGGAACTGCCCCGATCAAGCTGCAGGACCTTGCACTTTGCCTTGTTGGACTTCATGAGGTTCACATAGGCCCACCTCTCAAGCCTGTCAAGGTCTCTCTGGATGGCATTCCTTCCCTCCAGTGGGTTCACCACAGCACACATTGCTGGTGTCATCAGCAAACTTGCTCAGAGTACTCTCAGTCCCACTGTCCCTGTTGCTGACAAAGATGTTTAACAGCACCAATCCCAATATTGATCCCTAAGGAACAACACTCGACACTAGTCTCCAGATGAACATTGAGCCATCGACCACAACTCTTTCATCCAGCCAGTTTTTTATCCACTGAGTGGTCTATCTGTCAAATCCATGTCTCTCTAGTGTAGAGACAAGGATGTCATGTGGGACAGTGCCAAAATAACTTAGTTGAATATATAGTCTCCTAACTAGCATTTCAATATGAGCACAAAATGTACTAATTTTCTAGATTTTCCAGATTTTCCCTATCAGAGGTACTGCTTTCCCTAGACTTTGATTCCTAATTTTTGTCCTGCATGTGGGAGGATGCACCAGTAGAAAGCATATAAGATCTATTCTAAACTAGCCAGTAAAGAGGAAGGTATATATATTGAATGGCAAGAGGATGACAAAGCAAAAGATGTCAATCATCTGACTTCAAGGTTGAACCTACTCAGGTGTAGTAAATTCACAAGGTACAAGGGCCTTTCCTGTTTTTCCACAGTTTGCCTTTTGCATCGATTTACATTTTTATGCCTGCGAATACATTCACACAATATTGGCCACTGTATCACAGATACAAAATTCTATTTTTTTGGATTAGATTGTCTTGTAGCTCATTTCCAAAGAAAACATCCAATTGTACCATTCAATTTCTGACACCAGAAGGGGGAATAAGAAATAATCACAGTTTCCTCTGAGCACTGAAAGTGCTGTACTGGGAGATATGAGCCTAAAAATACTACTATTCAATATGCAGACCCACACTCTGGATTTCTTACAGCTACAGGTCCTGGGTTGTTATCAATAAAAATCTCTGTGGAGAGGAAACATGAATTCTAAAAGCACCAGAATCTTTGAGAGAGCACTAAGGGTTTAACCTTCACATGGCAAAAGCACAGTATGGAACTAAATAGATGCTATAAAATCCTTTAGTAATACACATGGCCTGCTGCTGAGAAGATGCTCATGATGAGGAAAAAGGTCAATGACATATCGATGGGCAGTGAGAACTGCAAAAGGACATGACATCCAGTGTGGGGTTCTATTCCCTTCTGTTATGATGAAAGACTGCTTAAAGGGTGAAAGTCTTCACTGAGTCCTTCACAGCCACAGTGACAGATATTTCCTTCTTTCTGTCCCCATCCCATTTTGGTTGTGCTGTGTTCTTTTAACAAGTGACAGGGCTCTGACTTCCTACTGAGCATTCTTACAAAGTACATCTACTGGACTTGCTCAAGAGGACCAAGACCCAGAGGATGGAGCATCTGGTAGGCAAGAGCATCCCACAGAAAACTTGACTATCCCCAGTTCATACAGAATGAGTATAACATGGAACAGGAGCTGCAGCAGTCAGTCTGCCCTCGGGAATGAGGGAAGGACATTTCCCAAGGACCAGAGGTGACAGAATAGAATTGGGCAGACTCAACCACAGACTGAAACAGTCTGGATGTGAAGACTCACTTGCAAGGACAGGGGAAGCTGGAGTTGAAAGAATGAGTGACTTAAAATGCTTTTAATTTCTATTATACCCGACTCTGTTGCTTTGAATTATTCCTATTTACAAAGTTTTTAGGTCATATCTTAATGGCACACAGCATATTCCCACCTTAATTTCAAAGCTCTTTGATCTTCTTTGGAGAGTTCATGGTTGAAACCGATTCACTTTAAATGTCTGGCTGACACAAGGTCCTGCTGCTGGCCATCAGCCTCCATAATATCCCCTCCTTATTTGCAGTATCCTGATGGACATGCTATAGATACCTGCTGAGCATGATTTTCTAGTTCAGCACATGGCTACAGCCTAGGAAGAGTGAAGCAATGGCTCTACTCCACCTACAACAGCTGCATCACAGACTCTCATGTTAGGCAGCTGGGTGAACTGCTAGGGAAACAGCAAGCATTTCATCAAAACCTGTCCTATGTTTCAAGGAGGTCCTTCAAAAGAGATACATTGCCATGAAATAGTGCTTTATTTTTATTTTTTTTTTACAACATAGCATTTCCTGATTAAAAGCAGCTCTAGCTATGATGAACAAGGCAGGCACTAACTACTCAGAAAAAGTAATTGTTCAGTATTGGCATCCAGAAGAAAATTACAGGATAAAGAATAGCTGAAAGCCTCACATTATCATTTGGTATTTTTCCTGAATCTAACTGGGAGAGAGACTGCTTGGCCATTTCCAGTGCCTTCCACCAGCTGAGCTGATTAGCCCATGATCAGTGCTGAGCACTGTAACTTAACTTGGCTGTCACTGGGGGCACTTGCTGCCAGCTGAGCACGCTCACACGGACAATTAGCAAGGCTCAGCCAACATGTGAAAACTTGTTAAGCTGCAGTAATGTTTATTTTTCCTTTCAAGCCTCATACTAAGAAGCAGTGTGAAGCAAAAGAGGTTTTGAGAACTAAATGAAGGAAATCTCGGCTATAAAGTAAAAACTAGAATTCTTTTTTTCGCCAGCTTGCATATTAATATTGATAGAAAACCTTGCAAAGCAACTTCTTTTGGTCTAGTCAGCTTGCAGTTCTGTATAGAATTTTTTCTAAGGAGTAGAAGTTACAATAAAATTATGAGAACACCTCTATTTTAGGCCTAAAGTAGAAATAAATATATAAATATATAAGCTCTATAATCCCATAGCAATATCTATATTGAATTCAGTAGATACACCAGAGTACTTACTGCAATACAGTTAAATTAGATGAGTTCCTTATTTTGGCCATACATCACTTTTTAAAGCACAAGAGGAAAAAAAAGGGTGAAATAAATTATTTAATGCTCATTTATCATCTCTATTAGAATTCTGTCACTGTGCCCTATCATGGGAACATACAAATTCTGTGCATTTTGTGAGAGTGCTAATGAGAATGCACTTTGGCTATAAAATAGTTGTAGTTTCAGTGACAGATATGAAACTTACTTGAAATCAACTTATAATTAGCTAAAATTCTAAATGTTGTGATAATAGTTGTAACAGGATGTAATTGAACATCTTGGCATGGCAAAAATTGCTGTATTGGAACTTTTAATTTTGTTAGCACCAACACAGTCCTTCCTCTACTTTCTTCATACTGCAGGAGCAATTTACTTTTTTTTTTCCAATTCGAATCTGACAAAGTTTCTTCATGTTCAAGAATTTTTCACATCAGTGGAACACCCCTCCAACACCACAAACAAAACAAACCCCACCCCCAAAAAGCCCCATCCAAACCCCATTCTCCATTGCAACAATTTACTTGCATCACATGAGGAATTTCCGGATTAATGAAATGAGATTTAAACCTTGCAAGAAAGATCCTACATATCCCTGCTAGAAGGCAAGCTTAAGTGAAATAAAATGAGAATTTTAATTTATGAATACGAGGCTTAATACTATGCTTCCAACAGTGAAACTGGTGAGATTCTCTCTCCTCCCATCCCTCTCATTTACAAACACACCTTTGTAAATGAACACAAACTAACAAAAGAAGAAACAATGAGGGGAAAAACCCTCCACAGCCAACAAAACCAAACACAAATCCCAAAGAAGAATCAAAAAGGCCTCCCACTTTTGCTTAAAATAAACTTTTGCAAAGTTTATTATACATCCCTCAGCCAAAAATCAAAACAATTTCCCTTAGCACTGCCAATGTGTTTATTGAATCACATGACTGAGAATGGAACAAAGCCAATCCAAACTACTATTCCTATGGCATAAACAAATCTGAAACTGGAATAAAAGAGGCACAAGGCAATCAGCTGCTCAAATTAGATAAGACAAACTTACACTTGTTGTGTAAGCAGCTTCGGGATCGTCCTCCAACACTCGTGACAAACCAAAATCGGAGACTTTACACATGAGGTTGCTGTTGACCAAGATATTCCGTGCTGCCAGATCTCGGTGTACATAGCCCATGTCTGAGAGGTACTTCATGCCAGATGCAATCCCCCGCAGCATGCCAACCAGCTGGATGACAGTGAAGTGGCCATCATGCTTCTGCAAGTAAAGATGCAAGTTCAAAGAACACAGCCACTTTTCATTAATGTCATACTAGTGGTATTAACGACAGCTCATATTTAAAATACATTTGTAACTGATCCAGCTAACCTGCCTACTGCCAACTTGTTTTTCCAAGTATTGAACTTGGTCTCATCTCTCATAGTGCAGTTTATCCCCCTTTTCTTGCACATTTTCACACATTCCACAATCTTCCTACTGACAACATTTAATTTCGTTTATACTCAGTTACTAAGAACACCTTCCCCAAACATAATTTTTTAGCACAAGAATGAGAATACATACAAAAATCCTCTCTTCATCTATTACTCCATGGCCTCAGGAAACAGAGAATCCTCTTTTAATTGTCTCAGACTTGATTATCTGCATTGAGGTACTGCTGTTCCCTAATTTTTTTTTTTTGGAGGGTTTGTTTGTTTTAAAAAAAATTCCAAAAAACAGCCTGGAAAAAGTCTGGGGCTTTACCTCATATCTGTTCTGCACCTAACACCATATAGTCTCTGAACACTAGATTAAAAAGGAGATTTGGGCTGAAATTCAGGGTTATGTAGCTTTTCCAAAGTTTTCCTGGCTGACTAAGCCTGTTAAGGTCAGACCCATGAATGCATTAAACTGTTTAATTCAAAAATTCCAAAAAACAGCCTGGAAAAAGTCTGGGGCTTTACCTCATATCTGTTCTGCACCTAACACCATATAGTCTCTGAACACTAGATTAAAAAGGAGATTTGGGCTGAAATTCAGGGTTATGTAGCTTTTCCAAAGTTTTCCTGGCTGACTAAGCCTGTTAAGGTCAGACCCATGAATGCATTAAACTGTTTAATTCAATTCCAAGTTATGTCACTAACAATGCTTGTCCAGCTGGTCAGTCTTGCTGAACCTCAGTTTCCCCATCTGCAGCACTAAAGTTAACACTTCTGTATGTCCTGCATCAGATGGCTCTGAATTTGTGGCAGTGGGAACCAGGTGAGTACATGTACAGAAATGTGATTGCAAACTCTTTGCCTGGTTTAGATCTGCCCTATCTACCATTTACAGCAGATTGCTTACAGGGATATTTTTGTGACCTCAGCTGGCAGACATTTAGCTTCTCATGGATTATTCAGTGAGTCAGGCTTTTATGTTAGCAGGAACAGCCAAGCAAAAACAAACAACTCTCCCCTGCAAAGAAGTTAACTTTCCATTTTCTCTTTCAACACCTTTAGCATTGGGCTACAGAGAAGTAGCAATGTTCTGATCAGCATTCAGGACATTTCTATTGCTTAGATGATACATTTAAGCGAGATGATTTTTGTAGGGGAGAAGCTTACAATAAGTTCAGTAAATTCATTAGATTCAGGAAAGCAACAGGCTGAACTGTATAGATAGGTTTAACTTTATCCCTGGTCAGCAAAGTATTTCAGCATTTCCATAATGATTCAATGATTTGGGGCCCATATCCAGCTAGTCAGGATATAAATATTTAAAGAACAAGAGAAAAAACAGAAAGAAAATGGTAAAAGGAAGATATTAACACACTTTTTCAGCTAGAAGACCTCACAGCCTCATTATACTTCTCAGCAACACTTGTATTTAAGGAGCTATGCTTCCATCAGTGGCCGAACACCACAGCTGTCTCCAAATAAAGCCCTACAACACTTCTTTGAAATCAGCTGTTTCCAATTGCTTTATAGTAACTATCCCCCTTGAATGTCCTCACTGTTATTCTTGTGTCAGTGCTCTGAAACCTTTATGTCTCTAAATTCTCCACGTAAAACTGGAGGCAGCTCTCTCCAAGCAATTATGTCAAACCTTCCATTGTTGTCTCCATCAAAACTTTCTGTCAGCAGGTAGTTCTGCAGGGGACAATCAGCTGAGGGTGAAGACACAAGTGTGATAACTAGACATTTTACAAAATGCCATCCTCTCTTATGGGCCTACGACATTCCTTATCACAGGCCCCCGTCACAACCATAAGGGGAACCTCTCAGAGTCCAAAACATACCAGTGACAGATATTTTAAATAAAAACATTTTATCTAGCAATTCAGCAAAGAGAGATGAAAGATAATATTTTAAGCCTCTTCCAATAAAGGAAGGACATGAACTCTCGCCAATATTTTATGCAAGGAGGCCACACAGTATTTGGGGTTTTCTTTTTATTTAATAATTCTAAATGTTCAATTGACACAAAATGTATGAAGCTGGTTGCTAGCAGTTAATACTCTTCACACTTACCACATATAGATTACTTTTTAGCTAACTGTAGAATTAGGATTCGGAACAAAGCACCAGTGCCTGACTTACTTTTGCAAAATGATCAATCGAGCCACCCTTCCTGCCCCCCCAACAAAGCACAAAATAAAACCAATCCCAAACCTCTAGATTTTACCTCCTCCTTATCTTCATTAACAGCTTCATTCTTTCAACAAACCTCAGAGTCATCTGCAACACCTCCCTTAACCCTTTGTCCTTTTGTCCTCTTGGATCATAAGCATTCATTCCTTCCTTTTTTAATTTCTGCTCTTTCAAGTCTAGACTATGCTTGACTGATTTTTCATAAAACATAACCTTTTTCTGCTCTTTCCAAATCTCAGTATTTGCCTTCCCAGTACAGCAGTACTGCCTGAGTTTAAAACAATCTCATCCTTTTGCCATTCTCTCCCTCCTTCTCTCAAATTTCTTTCGTCTTCTGCCTTGACACACAAAGTTCAAGCTTCTTATCTTCACTTTTAAAGAAATGACATACCTGCTAAAATACCAGTTGCAATTTTATTCTGTCCTCCTTCTCCCTCTGTATATTTCTCTGAATCCTCTACTGCATCTGTTCTCCTCTGTCCCTTCTCATGCTTGGATTTACATTGTTTCACTGCCAGCCTTGCAGATGGAACAAGTAAATTTTTCCTGTCGGCAAAACAGTCTTCTCTATCTCAAGTCTCTCTGTAATCACTTCTGCATCAGTTTCCATGCCAGTTGTATCCCCTTACAATCCATAAACTGTTACCTTTCAAGATATCAAAATATTTGTCTGATGTAAGCTGATCCAGATACAGACTATAGGCCATATTCAGCCCTTGGAAAATGCAACCAGGTTGATGAAATTATACCAGGTGTGAATCTGGCCTCATACTTTCAGAATTTGTAAATCCCCAGGTGCAATCTCTGGCAGCTGTCCATTATCTTGTTTCACTTGTTTGTCATATAGGGACATAAAACACTCATCTGAATGATATGGCAGTTGTTACCCAGAGCTTTATTCTGATTCCCATAGCTTAGATTTGAAATATGCTTTTGATAGGATTCCCACTGGGCTGTTAAGGGTGTTAATCAATACTGGCAGCAATTCATACCTCAGTGGACTCACCACATTTATCCTATCATCCTATTAAATTTTAATCAGGCTTTAATGGCTTTGCTAAATAAACTTTTCTCAACAGCTGAGTATAGATGCAGTATCTGAGTAGTTGCCGATGCATTTATGTAGCCCTGCAAATGCCCTGAAAAAAAATATGTTTTCATTCAGCTACAGTTTGCTTTTGAAAACCTTAGGTAAGCGAAATATTCTCCTCCTCTTGCAGACCTTTCAAAAGCATTGACATATAATGGGCTGGTGAAGAGGGTCAGTTACTGTAGGGGAAGAAGGATGATATCCAGAGTTTCTCGTGGCATTTTGCCCTCTAGTTTCCAGCTCCAGCAAGCACTTGCTCAGTGTTTTTCTACAAGCCTGTTGAGTTTTTCTTCTTCAGAAGTTTTTTTCCATTTTATTACCAAGTAATCTTTTGTAAGTACAGTTATTGGATTTTTCTATATTGTTTCTGGACTTCCATTTATTCCAAAATCCACTTCTTTATTTGCTATGTAAGTCAGAGCATTTTTATGCCCTTATGTTCTGAGAACTGTGCAGGATTTGCTACAGGTCTAAATGTTTTACTGCAGATTATTTCGATCTTATTTTAGATAGAGAATAGCATTGAAAATGGTGTGTCTGTGTCTAACTTAGATCATATTCACTAGTGGCAGCTCCTACTGGTCACTATGTGAAAAATGCAGGCTTGCTACCATGCAAAGTAAATGGTAGAACTTTATCAGGATGAATCTTCTAAAATTCAACTTGCAACTTGGTATTTCTGGGAAGTGTAACTCATGCTTCATACTATCATGCGTATCACACTCAGGTTTGTATTACTGGTACTGAATAAGATCAACTGATAATTTCTCCTTTAGTCAGCTGTTAATGGAGTACTTAATTATTTTAATAGGTTCCATTAATTCGCTTAAATATATTTAATTTAGTTAATTTAAAATGCTACTGAGTGATGCTACACAAGAATCTAAGTTCCTCCTCAACCATTAAAAATATGGGAAATCTTTTTCTTATTAAAAAAGTTTTTTGCAAGATGAAGCTCTTCCAAAGATTATTTTGAGATGCAAGACCCACCCTCTAATCTGTCAGCACAGCAGTAGGAGCCTTGTAACCTGTGACCCTTCTTTCCTCACTCAGCTACAGCAACAAGAAAGGGATGTCCTGGAATAATCACTTTGCTGCACTGGAATACAACTGTCACAGAGTTGAAAGGGCCTTTGAGGCCTCACCCTGTGTCATTCCTGACATACTTTTCTAACCTGCACTTAAAATTAAGGCCATTATTTCTTAGTCTGTCCACTCTGTACTATAGCTTAAATAAGATGTCTCCCTTGAGCATGGCACTTTGACTGGCACAGATTTAACTCCCCTCTGCAACTGTTTTTTTAATGCCCATGGAGACTAAACATCTCTCTTGCCCTTTTCTTTAGTCTTAACACTGGTTCAGTCCACAGATCTCATTTGCTTGGCAATTTTTTCTTTCAGATTTTGTTGTGGACTCTGCCCACCTACTCCAAACAGTTCTGGAAGAACTAAGGTCCAAACAAGACAGTACTCTGAGGCCTAGTCAATGTGAAGCAGAGAGAAAAATTACTTCACAGACCTTGCAAGGGATACCTGGTGGTATTTGTCACAGTAAT